TCTCATTTTTTGTTCTCTTCTCGCATTTTTTCCCTTTCTCTGTTATTGTTCGTACTCGGAAAAACAGAATTTTTAGCTTAGAGTGCGTTTCCATTCTCCGCTCTTATGCTTGCGCCATCCTCTGCGGGGGATTATGAGATTAAGTAAGGGAGTGAGAGAAAAAAAAAGAGTGCGTGCGGTGGAAATGGAAAACTCGAGGAGAAACTCCAGCTGCGAACCCATTATTGCCCATTGCTGTAGATTTATGAAAATGAAAGGTTTATTCTTCATCCAGACAATTCTACAATTGAATTTCAGTTTATATAACGCAATTATAACTCAATTTTCTTTTAAAATTTAGATTAAACCGCACACGATAATGATTGATAGAGATTTTAAACTTTCTACTTCCCTGATCTAAAATATTGCGATGAATTTTTTTTGTTATTGTTGCTGTTAGTAACGAAGTTGCATTTGGGATTTTCTTGGGTGAATTCTTCGAGTATCTGAGATGCCGTATTTATAGACGGAAAAATCATAATAAATCAACGGAGCGTTAAGTCCGATGCTGCCGTCTATTTATACGCCTCTGGATTAATTCCAGACGAATTAATAGTTATGAGGAGGAATTTCTGCCATTATCTCGAAACGCCGGAGACATAATTAGAGATTATTTTGTGCATTCATCTCGGTATTTCAGATTGCTACCTAATTGCTTTAACAAAAAAGTCGTCCGTCGGTAATGGTTCGTAATTCTATGTATTTAAATACATTAACTCGTACAATCGTCTGAATAGACGAAATCATTGGATTTCACATTAATTAGCAAGCGCACGTTTATGAAAACATGCTAATTGCACTTAGTTCATGTGTGTTTTTCAAATCGTATTTAAATACCAAACTTGGTAAATTGAATTATATATATAGCATTAGTTTTCCGCAAAACGTACAATTTAATTTATTTTGTTCCTTAAGGACATCCAACATAGTTTTCTTTAACTTAAGATATTCTCAAGAATATCGATTAAAACAAAGAGGTGTTAGACTTGTTGCTGTGACCCATTTCTTTATTGCCATGGATTCCGGTTGTTGGGGCGGCTTGTTGAGAGAATCGCTGCCTCATTTAAACCCTTGTCCTTAACACTGGATCGCTTGCACCCCCTCAGGGCGCCGTTAGTTCTTTCCCTTCTCCTAGATTCTTCCCTTTGCTCTCGACTCGTGACCCAATTCCAGTATTTCTCTTCCTTTTCCCACCTCTTCTTCTTCGTTTTTTCTAGTTTTATATTGTGTGTGTTTGTTTCATCGGCCTGGGTCGAAGGGTGGAGTAGGACAAAACGGGAACCGAGTTTGCGGTGAGCGCGAAGAAGGAGTATATAATACGACGTGGCTTGAGGGCTTTTGGACCGTTAAAATCGAGGTCAGCCTCGGTTACTGTTCTGCGTTCGCTGTTCTCTGCAAACCCCTCGAGGGTTGGATACGATCAGAATATCTGCTGCCGCCGCCTCCACCTTTGCCGTCGACGCCGCCTCCGATTCGCGTTTTCGCATCCATTGCGCACGACGCCCGCAGAACAATCGATATTATCACTGACCAACACACAAATTTCCCTACACAACCTCCTCCGCGCATTCCTCAATCGGGATACTCTCCGCCGTATGGCACGTTACTACCACGTACTTCGGATTGCACAACCCAACCCTTATTTTGCATGGGAGCAGACCATTACTTTCTAATTTGCAGATAATGACCTTTTCATTTCCGTATATTCATATTGGCCGGACAGGTTTTACTTTGAACAACTCATTAGTTCAGTACTTCAAAAGCGTTTCTACAGCAACCATTCACAAATAAAAAATGAAAATATAAAATGTCAAAAAATATTTAATACATTATCAAACCTGACATGATTTAAAGCTAATTGAAAACAACTAATTATGGTGTTTAATGAAATTGACATTCTATACAAATTGAGGACATATATTGGATCATACAAAAATAACTTAAAAATACAATTATGAAATGAAAATCTATGCGCTATTTTCTTTAAATATCCTATTGAAACTTAAACTGATTAATATTATAAATAATGTTAATTAAGATATTCAACGCGATTTAAAACAAATCTCTTTAATGAACATTTTTAATTGCAAACTTAAAACTATTATTGGATAAAAATAATATAGTCAATAGTTCTTTTTTGTTATATTATTATTGAATGTTTACTTTTTTACGTAACTGTTGCAATTAAGATTATTATTTATTATGACGTTGCATTACGAAATCGTGCGTATTGTCTAATAAAAAATATACTGAAATTCTGAAAAGTGGGGCATGTTTTTGAGGTCGGACGGTGTAAGCAAGTACTTTTTTTTGGGTCTTGGGGCAGGGTCGAGGCGAGGGTTGGCGGCGGTGCAATTGATTTAATCATTAGCATAAATTTGCATGTCGGCGCCGCCGCTTCCACCGCCGCCGGGTCGGTCCATTCGGGTTTTCGAGTCGAATCCTGCCGATCCTGCGGGAGGGCCTCGTGCCGCGCGTGTAGCATCCTGCCTGCCCACATTCCCGGGTTCAGTACACGGTGACGTCAGGGGGGAAATGCTGCTGGCTGTGCTACTGCCACCGCCACTGCCGCCTCCTCCGCCTCTGCATTCGTAGCAACCCTGACGCGATAAAATTAAATACACCATTCAAGTCCATCCAATATTCAACAGCATCCTGCACCTCTTCCTAAACTCAAATGATGATACAACAACAAACTCTCACGACCATCGTCGTTAACACGAAGTGCGTTCATTAAAAATTAACCTAAACGTATTATTTTTTGGGTGATCCGTGTGCTGTGCTCAGGAGGACATACCTGAATATTAAACCTGTGATTGCAGTCTTTGCGATGTTCAAGTCATGGAAATTCGGAAAGGTAAATTGGAGTAACAGCAGCAGGAGGAGGAGGAGGAAGAGAAGCTGGATAATTTATCCGGGTCTCGCACTCGCTGCAGGCACTAGGGAAAGGTCCTTCCTTCCTTTCCTCCCATTCCGCAGACAATTTTATTGACATTACGCCGCTTTCGGTCGTAACTCCGCGTGTGTCTCTCCCAATAGTTTCCAAACTATTGACCGAATCGATATATCCTCTTAGCTCATTCCGAATACATTAATCCTTATCATCTCTCCTCGCATTACTAACCTCTCACTACAAAACCAATGTGATTGGACATCACAAATAGACAATGCTTGTTTGTGATTGATTGCGCGATTGTCCATTTCCTGTTCATTTCCTACAAATCCGGAACCCAAAGTGAAGCAGATGAAACATTTCAAACTCCGCAACACAATAACCGGTGACACGTAACAAACCGTTCTCCAGTAAAATCTGCAAAAAGGTTCTCCTGTACAATGTTATATTTAACAAGAATAATTTACATTATTTTACAAATTTTAAATTACGTTATATTCTTTTGAATTTAGGAATACGCGAAGTTGAATATATGGAACATTTATTAAACATTTTCTTCAATTAAAATAAATTACATTATTTTTTATGTAATATGAGGAAATCACTGCAGTTTTTTATTTAAAAAAAAGTGATATTGTATATAGCGTCATGTAAGTTTTGTAACTTGTAACTTGTAACTATAATTATTATTGTTTACAAGAGCAATCTTTATTTTCGCTGACATTATCACTATTTGTGTTGATTCGAATCATAATTTTGAATTTCATATTATGATGAAACTTCTATTACTTAGTCACCCATCTTTTATGAGTTTGATCGATATATGCACAAATTGTGTTCCTATTTCCTATTAATTTCCGCTCGAATCCTTAAACTACTCATTCCTGTTAATCTTAACTTTTCACTATTGCCAATTGGAATTTTTATTGTTGATTTTTTACTGTCGGTTTAATATTCGCTTCATTCTATCAAAATAAATATTATATTTACAAATACTTTATAACTAATTGTAATTAGCTTTATATACGCGATGTTTTAGTTTTGAACGTTACGACAACATTTTTTGGACATGATTTTTTTCATAATACAAAAAAACTTTCCAAGTTTACTATATTTATTGTGCCCTGATAACCAACAGATTAAATATTTTACTTACGTCAAGTTCACAACAAATTTTGTATATATAGAGATGTTAAATGTATGAAATGTTCTTGTCGAATAAATTGAGTTGCAATTAAATCTTGTTTAATGTATTAGAACGATTCATTTATATATGAAATGTTGATTTACTTTAATTTTATAACAAAATTGAAATATTTATTTTTTGAAGCCTTATATGTATTTTTATATGGTTGTATTTGAGCTGTAAATGTGTGGAATGCTGGCTGTATGACTTGCAAGATTCAAATGAACTAATTTACGTTGCAATTGTGTCACGTTTAATCACATTTAGCAGCGTGAAAGTGTGTCTGGCACGTAGACAACTTGATGGGTTGACATTACATTTTTTAACGGTTTGCTTTAATCCCGATGCATATATTTCTATGGGATAAAGAAGGAATGTTGAGATTCAATTGGTTTACGTGCTCGATACAATTAAGCGCCGCGCAGCATTCACAAAGAGCGTAACAGGAAACACGTGCACCGTTTCCTATCAATTCACGTGGGACAAGACATTTCTTTGCAACGCCTTGAGCATCGTCCAAACAGAAAACTTTCCAATTAACCGAAAATCGCAAAAATTTTGCCACCGTATTTTGCTACCACTGCTGTTGTGGCGATGGGAGCGGTTCTCGCGAGTTGCGCGTGGGAGCGACAGAGAAAGAGAGGAAATACAAATAAAAGGAAAGAAATAAAAAGAGTTCAACACACTTTGAATTCACTCACTCATGCGGCAATTACATCAATGCATTTAATGACTTCATTTGCTACTCCTCCTCCTTCTGCCGCCGGTTCATCTTCGCCCATTCACTCGATCCCCTGACACCATGCAAAACAAACTGTCCGTGTTATTTCTCTGCTCATATGCATATGTTTTCTTTATTAATTTACGTTGAATTCTTTGCAGGGTCTGGATGCAAGCAGTTCCAGCAATCAGCTGCTGAGGGCGAACGTCGCGGAGATCGGTGCTCCCCGGATTGATAGCTACCGTTTCTCCATGGCTAACCTAGAGGATTCTCCCGAGGTGGACCTGGACGCCATCCTCGGCGAGTTGTGCGCTTTGGAGACGCAGGTCGATAAGGAGATCGGCGATGTCAAGAGACAATCAGGTTGGTGTTTAAAGTTGCCGTTGTTATTCAATGTCATTTTCGTTCGTTCGTTCTTTCTTCAGATTCGCAGAAGTTGAGTCAGCATCTATCCCGCACGCACACCAGGTCTTCGTCGGAGGGACCGAGGATGAATCCGGCCGACGAGGCGCTTATGATGAAGGCGGATTCGGATAGGAGGACGGATTCTCCAGATAACGATTCCGCCTTCAGCGATACCGTCAGCATGTTATCCAGTGAGTCTTCGGCTAGTAGCGGCGGCAGCGGATCCAAACCACAATCCTTGCAACTACCAAAATTACCAATTCAGGTAAATATATCTTTAGTTAGTGAAAATATATATAAAAAAAGAAATATTGTCTATTGACAGCTATAAGAGAAATAGTATTGCTCATTTAAATTCTAACGAGATTACGAGATTAGTTGCAAAATATTTGTAAATATAATGTTTGTTTTTGATAGGATGAGGCGACGAAAGTGAAAGCCGAGAAGATCAGGATGGCCATGGAAAAGATCAAAGAGGCGAACATCCAGAAGTTGTTCGTGAAGGTGTTCACTGTCGACGGTTCAGCCAAATCCCTGCTGGTCGATGAGAAGATGACCTGCGATCACGTGACCAGACTTCTGGCCGACAAGAATCACGTGCAAATGGATCCCAAGTGGGCGCTGGTCGAGCACATACCAGACCTCTACATGGGTAAGCATACGACTAACATCAACAAAAAATACTCTAACTAAAATTGATTTTCTTTTCATATTTTTTTCCGACAGAACGCACCTACGAGGATCACGAGTTGCTAGTTGAAAATCTGCTGCTGTGGACGCGCGAATCCAAAAACAAAATCTACTTCGTCGAGAGACCTGAGAAGACAGTACTTTTCATGCAACCGGAACGCTTCCTGCTGGGCTCCGGCGATAAGAGACAGATCGTCGAATACGATGAACACCAGAGAAGTCTCCTTCTCGAGGACTTCTTCGCGTCGGGACGTTCCACCGCCTTCCACATTCCCGAGATCGAGGGTCCTCTCTACCTTAAGTCCGAATCGAAGAAGGGCTGGAAGAAATACTACTTTGTCCTGAGGGCGTCCGGCCTGTATTACGTACACAAGGAGAAGCTGAAGAACACAAAAGATCTAGTGTGTCTCGCCACGTTCGACATGAACCAGATGTACTACGGCTTAGGCTGGAAAAAGAAATACAAAGCGCCCACAGACTTCTGCTTCGCCATCAAACATCCGCGACTTCAGGAACCGAAGAGCACCAAGTTCATAAAATACTTATGTGCCGAGGACCAGCAGACTTTGGAGAAATGGATGGTCGGAATTCGGATCGCCAAGTACGGCAAGCAGCTGATGGACAATTACAGATGTCTCATGGATGAATTGGCGCAGGAAGATTTGGACCTCTTGGCGCACGCCAGGAGCTGCTCGGTCAGTTCCATCGCCGTTCCCAGTCTTGTTACAACACCGACTCAAAGGTAAATTTCCAGAAACGTGAAATAGGAAACGAATAACAACTGTTCTAATCCATCAGATTTAGTTATTCAGCGAGCGATGGCTACGGTACGCAAAGCGAAACTTACTCTTCGGCACCAAGTGAGATCAGCTCTGGAAGATTGAGTAGAGCCAGCAGCTCCAGTTCCAGCGGATGTATGTCCGATGGTGCGCCATCCAGTTGCGAAAACGCATTCGATTCAGAATTTCCCATGGGTGAGTAATCAAATTATACCAACGATCGATTGATTAAGAGAATACAAATCGAAATGCATTTGCATGTGCTACTTGAATTTCAGGTACCATCAAAAGAAAGCCATCAATGAAACCGAGTTTACCGTTGACGAGTATCACACGTCAGCTGAAGGAGGTTGGTGAGACCAGGGACGAGGTGGACGCAACTCTGCCAACGAGTCCAGTTTCTTACACAAACACAGGTAGGATATTTGTAAATATCATAAATGTTACATTGTTTAAACATAATGTTTTCTTTCTATTCGTAGGAACTCTGACGAGACGACACAGCCGTAGGAAATCGAACTCGGACGATTCGGGTTCGAATTCTGGAACGTTGAAGAGGCAACATTCGTACAAGTCGCGCGGTTCCATCGAATCGATGGGCAACAGGAGTGGAAATACCACTCCTCTCTGCGGCAACTCCAGTCCACTGTGCGGCACGCCGGTGAGGGAAAGGGCGTCACCGTTCGGCGAGCGCAGCGATTCGTTCTCACCGGACTCCGCCCATCCACCGATCCGCAGCCCGACCAGTATCGTGGACATGCCCTCCATGGTTCGTATAAACTCGCAGAAATCTCGTTCTTGCACGTTCCTCTCTTGCATGCTCTAACCTTATCTCTTACACTAACCGTAGATGCCTATATCTCTGATGGATATAAGAAAGACAAAATCCATGCTTAAGCGGATCCAATCCCAGGGTATCACCGTATTTTGATCATTCTTTTATTTACTGTTATTGATTGTTATGTGTTTTGCGCAGACTGACTCGATAATATCGCTGCCTCCGCCGCCGGAGGAAACAGGAGAGATCAGCGCCGACTGCCAATCTCTGCAGCTTCCGCCACCGCCCCCCGATCTCTACAACTCCAACCAATCACTGGATAGTCTTCCGCCACCTCCAAGCGATCTTCCGCCCCTCTCCGAGAATGAGTTAACCGGTAGTCAACTTTCGTTAATGTCGCTGCCGCCGTTGCCCAGCGACGACACTGGAACGATACGTCGGAGGAAGGACAGCTCGGCGACGGCCACGCCCACCAACGTGCTCAGTCCAGAACGCACACCTACCATGTCGCCCACGCCAACTTGCGACTCAGAATCGAGTACGCCTACTCAAGGCAAAGTTTTCGATCTGTCCACCGAGGATCACTACAAATCGTTGCCCAACTCCGGAAGTCTGAGATCCTCGATGCGGCATTCCGCCACAAATTACTACTCGGACAGTTTGCCACTGCGCGAGACCAGCCCCAAGAAGAACAAAAAGAAGATCAGCTTCAATCTGGGAGGCTTCCAGGAGGTGACGACGACGTCACCTCCGGTCGCTCCTATCCTTCCGAAGAAACCACCACCGCCGAAGAGGTCAGAGAGTACGCGATTGTCCAGTCCGAAGAAGCTGCAGGATCCACCGACGGATTTCCTGAAGGACTTGCAACGTGTCATGCGGAAGAAGTGGCAGGTGGCGCAGAAGTGCAAGGAGGAGCCGGCAACGACGCCGCACGAAGTGCTCGGCTTCAGGGATCCTCCGGCCGTTCTCCCCGACTATAAGGAAACAAACGTCAGCAATTGGGTGCAGGAGCATTACGGGGCCAACAACTTCTATGAGAACGTTTACAGGGTGTTCGAAGTGGCCGAGTACAGCTGCAGTCCGGTGCACGTGCGGAATTCGGCCGATATGTCTCGGGGGCGTCGACCGCCTCCGCCACCTCCGAAACGAAGTGAAACTACGCACTTGAGTTCGGTTAAAATGCACTAAAGGATCTCTCCGAAAACAGAGAACAACAAACCTAACAAATGACATTTATATTGTGATTTATATAAGTAAACAAAAACAGACTATTTGATATCGTGCCATTTATTAAGTCTTTGTTTCTAGACGATTATTCATTATCGTTTCCAAACGCGCGCGCCCTCCTTGCGAGAATTCAAGAACTCTCCAAGGAGACAACTAACAATTGATTAACCTAAATATATATATAGTTATCTATATAACAATATAACAAATATGATTTGTAAATAATTTCACTTGAGTTACTTTTTTTTAGTTCGTCTTCTGCGAATTTTTTTAGTTGTCCTTCATTATTGTTTTATTTTTCCTTTTTAAATGTCAAACATTTAACGTTATGGTGCTTCTAGTTAGAATGAAACAATTAGAGATGAAATTTTTAATGGAAATTTTTGTAACGTTTGTTCATTCACTGAACGACGAATTAATTAAAGAAATTATATGGATGACGATGGTAGTTGGAGCGGCGGTAAAATGTTTATTATTGATTAATCTATTATGGAGAAGAAAACACTAATAATAATAATTATTATTATTATATATGTATACAGGGGATTAAATAATGCCAATCGTGTTTTTATTTCTAGTTGTCGCGAGACGCAGTTCATCCTTACATTATTTTGGAAATACTTACAATTTTGTATATAGTATTAAGTGATAAGGCTGTTTCATAATATTTATATTGTTTTATTTTATATATTTTTTTTGTTTGTTTTGTGTCCTTCCGATCTATGCGCCGGGCTTGCGCCGCCCTGTATATATTACATATACATATATTGAGTGTCTGTTTAGTTTTTAGATTTTTATACGAGACAATTTTTTTATATATATTTATACAATCGTATACAAAGATCTCGCCTCTCCTAAACAAAACAAATATGAAGAAGAATATGAAACAAACTAATGGTGTGTTCTTTGTTTTTCTACTTTTTATCTTTGATGAAATGATGATAATATAGCATCTTCTTGTATATTATGATACAATATACACACACACAACTTATTATTTATTTCATTTTATAAAACCTTCATTGTGCAATTGAAATTTCTCTTTAATTTAGTTCTCCTGATATTATTCTGGGCTTCAAAAATAAAACGAAAACGTGCTTTCTTTCCATGTATTTATATATTTAATACAATGAAAAAATAAATGAAATAAAGATAATATTATTTAAAATGACGATTTTAACCAAACATCAATAGCCTCTAAATCCTCAAAAGAAAAGAAGTTTTCCTAACTAACCATTAACCACGAAACGATTCCATCAAACTTTTAAAAACATTGTTACCTAGATTACATATAACACAATTTACTTGACTATACAAAGCCTACTTGATGTTTGTTATCAAGTTACAGATTGTTTTTTTATATTATAAAGAAACATAACCCAACATTAAATGAAATGTAATGTCACAAGACAGAATTAAAAGATATAACTAATATAAAAAAAACATATTTATTTAATTCTAAGTAAAATAATACATTATACAAAATATAGTCTAATGATCAATGATGATCAGCTCATCAATGCCCCAATCCTCATATGAGTTGTCTGGCAAATACCTCCTGATAATGATCGGAATCTTCCTTTGCTTCAATTCTTTCATGGCAATCTGCAGAGGATCAGTTTCTCCATCAAGCTCAACCATGACTGGGGCACACATGGAGATTTGCAGAGCCCTGGTGCCCAACACTCTGGCTCTCTCATACTTTGTCATATATTTTGTTGTGATCCTCTTGTTCTTTGGAACACCTCCACCAGCCTGTCCTGGATTTAAAACATCAATGTTATCACCCTCCTCCTCCTGCTGCTCCAACTCTTCAATGTTATCATCCTCTACATCGTCATCGAAGTCATCACCAACATCGTCACCATCGTATTCTTCATCGGCCATTATTAAGACAATATATAACACAACTACAAAAAATAAAAATAATTAATATTTCACGAAAATCACAAACAAAAACACAACTAACCTATATCCCAAAGTGAATAACAATGTGAGTTTTGGTTAGTTACGCATCAGGTTGTCAAATATATACTCAAGTGTACCAACATAAATAATGAAAATATCCCCAATTTTATAAGAGGCAATGGACTAGATTTTCCCGCCAAAATTCGATTATTTTTATTGTAATTTACTGTATATACATGTTAATAAATCAATTATAAGAAATGTAAATTAAATAATATGTTGAAACATCTAATTTATTTTTAATCAACAATATTATATAGGGGGTGTAACTCAGTGGTAGAGTGTCTGCTTCGCATGCTGAAAGTCCTGGGTTCAAATCCCAGCTCCTCCAAATGTATGCTTTTGTTATTCCTTTCACTATAGATTTAATTATTGAATTTGCAAATAAATTAAGTAAAGAATAAAATAAATACAAAAAAATACAAAATAGTATTTAAATTTAGTGTATGTTTTTATTCGAAAAACTATTCTCCGAGAGGTCGGTCAACAATGTCAATGGGAGCTGTGCGTTTGAGAAGATTCCTGAAGGTGTCTATGCAGACTTTTCCAGTCTTGTCGTGGACCACGCCGAGATCCCACAGTTTTTGAAAGGTGTCATTCGGAAATTGATAGCCGGCGATTTCAAACAGTTTTTGAAGATACTGTGGTTCCCTAGGCTACGAAGATAAGTTGCAATTAATTTGTGGATACAATTAATGCAATTTTCTACCAGAAAAAAATCTCTGTGAGTCAACTGGTAATTGGAGAAGATGCTGGGATTGAGCAAGGTTTCAGCGTTGCTCTCGTAGGACAAATTGCATTCCTCAAATCTACTTTGCGATGGATGAAGAGCAACGACATCCATGTCCAGTCTCCTGGATGGTACTCCTGCTATTCTTTCATCTATAATTAATTTAAAATATCATTTAATTTATAATAGAAATGTCAACGTAACGTCAAAATTAAAAAAACTGCAATAATAAGATAGTGATGAAGCACATGACAAGTAACTTGGAAAGCGTCATGCAAAGTAGTCTCAAATAACATGACATTTATAATTACTGACAGGTTTTATATACTCACTGGTGTTATCCATCTTCCAGCAGTCCAAAACAGCAGCTTGATTTGTCGTCAAATAATGCGAATTGACGCTGACACCATCTATAAAAGATGTTTCAATGATTTCATGAATTGACGATGATAGTTATATACCATCAAATGTTCCGAAATTAGGCAATTCTTCCTGCGGATCCAGGAAATTGATGAGAGCAGTAAACTCCACCATTCCCTCCTTATGTAACCCGAAGAGCTCGAGCAGCGGTAAAAGTAGAGACGCTTCGACTACGATCTGGTTCCTCTTCAATATATCGTAAACAAGAGCGAAATCCAGCCAACCATTTTGCTCCTGCAAAATAGATGAATTATCATCTCGATTGTAACAATATTGACATTATTAACTTCATCAAACGACCTGCACAACTCAATGATGTCCTTCAAATCAGTGGGATGTTTCCTCAGGAAGCATCGAACTCGGTTCAAATGGTGCATCCATTTTCGAAGATCCCTCTTCAACAAAGACGGTTCCAGATCGGGTTTCATCAGCTCTTCGACGCAATGAAAAGGAAGATTGTACTTCTTACCGTAGGTGAAATTCTGGGGCACGACTTTTGAGTTTCCAATACTGAAAATTGCAGGATTAAATCTAGAAATTAACTCAGTTTACCGATATCCTTACGGCATCAAACATTTGCCCAGTTGAAATTTGGTGCGTTCCACTGTATCCGCATGTACCCGGTTAACAGCGACTATCGGCTCAGAATTGAGACTGGTCAAGGCACATTTGGCGTAAATTCCACGCGGATCGAACCTGGTTTTCATACCGTAACGACGAGTCGGATCGTACGATTCTTTGACGTAACTTTAGGATTATTTCGTATTAGAAAATATCAAATGAATGAGAGTTAAGTATACTTGCGATTAATCTTTTCGCCTGGGTAGTAATCGTTGTGAGACTTCTTGTACATGTTGTGAAACTCATTTGTTTCGAATTGTATTTCGTAGGTTGATTTCGGCGGATTGATCAACTCCTTCATGGTAACATCTAATTTGCTACATAATTTAAGTTAAATGCTTTATTTTGTTTTATTCTATTTACCATGTAGGATTTTATCTCCAAAAGTGGTGTTTCCAGGGTCCATGCCTTTGGGTAATCCCCCGGTTGGATCGCGTCCTCTTCCTAGCTCTTTGTTCCAGTAATCGGCAAGTACCGTTTCTCGGAGATCTCTCACCAGCGTCTGATATCGTGTCTCATCTGGCGGATTCAAAATGGGGCGTGTCAATTGATACGCGCCGCGATGTCGCACATTTTCCATTCGTTGATGTCTCGGCTCCGGCTCCACCCGTTTAAGCCCCGCCTGATTGAGAACCGCAACGATAGCGTCATCTGTCGGATAATTGCGCAAGCATTCGCGCATCGATCCATCGACTTTGCACGGCACTCCGGCCTCAACGCAAAACAATAAATGCAAATTCAATAAACAGAGTTATATTTAGCTTACCGGACATATTATTGGTGTTCTATCTTTAAATTTTCCAAGGTAAGCCATAATTCGTGAAATAAAACGTCACCCGATTAAATGTCAGAACAAATAAATAAAACAATGATTGCTAAGGCGATAAAAGTTTATTGGTTAAGAATGTCTTGGAACAAATCAATGAGATCATCGGCAACTTCAAATCTGGTAAAATTCTGGACAGGTTCTACGCACAGCTGGATCATCGTTTCCAACTCGGGATGGGCTGTAGCTATTTCCTGGGGAATGCTATGCAGAAGTCCCCCGTTCATCATAGGCCACTCGGCTTTCTTGGATATAAGTAATTTACAGATTGCGTAATAGTTGTGGTCGCTGATGGAACTGCTGCAGACCTCCTCCTCTGAATAGGCGAATCCGTCGAAGTTGAACACCTCGCTATGATGATGTTTCAAGCCTTAAACAAAACGAAACATGCAAAACAGGAGATATGGCGATGATTGTCCTCTTACCGCTTTCATCTTTATTAACAATGATGAGGTTTTCCAAATCGATGATCTTCAAGTTCAGATTATCGTCAACTGCCACGTTGTCTGGTGAGACATCTGTTAAGTAGAACCTGAAGTAGGGATGATCTTCGGTGAGGCTTTTCGCTGCTAACAGAAGTTGTAATGCGAGATTGAGGCGATCTAACCATCGGCTATCTTTGAAATCGTTCAACGGTTTTCCGGCATCCTCCACAGCCACCAATCGGCCGCATGCTCCAAAATATTTGGGTACCGCCGATTTTCCGGTCCCGTCCAATAACTATAAGTCATAATCAGTAAACAATAGATTGATTAAATTGAAAAACGACCTGTAAGATTATAGGCTCCGGATTGATCATCAAAAACATCCATATTTTTTGATAGAAATCCGCATCATCGTCCATCAAATACTCGACGTGTTCCAAAAATAGATCCGGATTAGGGCAAACCTTGATGTTGGCCACGAACTCTTTCAGCAACTGTCGAATCGCTTTCCGATAATCGATTGTCGATTGAATCGATCCTAAATCACAGCCGCGCAGTAAGCCGTGATTGGTGCAAATAACTGCATCCAATTCGTCGATCTCCTTATCATGACCGAGCTTCTTCAGCACGACCCCATCTTTGGTAAAGAGAACGTTTTTAACCCCGAACATATTGTTCACGGATTCGCCGAACGATTCAAACCTTAACCGCAAACTGTCCATCGTTTTGCAGTAGCCGCGGCCATAGCAGAACGGGCATTTCTCCAGATCTGTGTGCTTGGAAATCGGTTCATCCACGCGAATGAACCAAATTAAAATCGCGACGATCACAACCACTAAACTAAAAGAAACTTTTATCATTTTCTCGAACTAATGCCCTGCTGGAGCGCCTTCTGTCTATAACTGTATAACTCCTTAACCCACTTCTCAATCCTCACTTCCTCATTCTGAAACAACTACAAACAAAGAAATTACAATCATAATTATAAATGTTACTTTTCAATTAATATTCTACAACTTACACTATGGTGGAATATGCTTGCTGGTTCATTTCCAACTGTATCTTGAACCTCTGGCACCTTGATAATCTGTTTCTTTAAATCAATGACAATATTATGATTTACTTTCTTTGCACTTGAATTAAATGGTTTAGGGTTAAAAGTATCTGTGTTTATCTCGTCAAGAGTCTTAATGTCAACAACAGGCAAGGATTCTTCCACAGGTTTCAACTGACTCTTATTAAGTAACTTCTTATCAACTGAACTATTTGATGATTTACTAGAGCGTTTCTGATCCTTTGAACTACTGGAATCACTCTCTGAATCACTACTACGTTTTTTCTTGCTCACATACTCCTTGATGTATGATTTGGATCTAGATCTCCTTGATCTGTACTTATCTCGAGACCTAGAGGTGCGTCGCTCCTTGGCACCTCTGTATCTTGAAGACCTCTGTCTGGATCTGCTACGACTTCTCTTGATTCCACTTTATACAAAAAAAAACAATTATTATAAAACTGAAATAATTTGAACAAGTACACTTACCTTGATTTACTATATCTATCTTTACTTTTCGACCTGTGTCTTGCTTTTGTTCTTCGACTTTTCGAATCTGAATCACTTGAACTACTGGAGATAGATCTGCAAATAAAGAAACAATAGTTAAAAAAATAACTTAAATAATTTACGAACGTACCGTCGCCTGCTACTACTTTTGTACGATTTTTTTCTCTTATCATAATCCGAGTCACTCGAATATTTTCCCATTTACGTTATTTTTCGCTCACTTTAAGGAAATTAATAAAAACAAGGCGGAAAAAATAATGTATCCAAAATGTATTGTTAATTTAGGTTATGTTGTTATGCTTGGTTATGTTAGTTTGACAGGTTTGGCAATACTTGACACAACTTTGTAAATGCGATTTAATTATAGTTATATAACCAGTTCAATTATATGTTCATTATTCAAAATGATCCAAATTAATTATAATTAATGATTTAAATCTGTAAAATTATATTTTCTGTTAGTCTACTTTCTGTTGTGTTGTGAAGTTGGTGTCAGTGAAAGTGACAGCTGTCAGCACTGTCAGTGGGAGTACGATTTGTAAATAGTGCATTATTTTTATTATCGGAAAGTGGGAGATTTATATTGGAAATGTTTAATGGAAGTTAGTGTTGATTGAAGCAGATGGGCACGAAAATGAAAATGGATAAACTGTGCAGATCATGCATGTGTGTTGCCGGCGAAATACGGCAACTGTTCACAAGTGCAGGAGGCGAAGACGAAGATGATGCGACTAGCAAAGAGGTGGTGCAGCAGCACACTCACTTGGCTCAAATGATCATGGCCTGTTCAGATATTAAAGTTGGAGAATCTTTTATCCTTTTAGCATTTATTTTACTCATAGTTTTCTTCTTTTTTTTTGTTTTGTAGATTGAAAGTGGAGATGGGTTACCAGCAGCTCTGTGTTTGCAGTGTGAAATGAAGGTGATCATTGCTTTTGACTTCAAACAACTGTGTGAAAAATCTGATGCCACACTTAGGGCTTCTATCAGTGGTACCACAGATGATATTGCATCAAGCTCATCTTGGCAAGATTTGATCAATGTAATGGATACTTGCTTGCATTGCGATAAACGTTTCAAATCTAATCAGAAGCTGGAGGAGCATATGAAAACCCATCAGACTTTGTGTGAGCATTGCAATATAAATTTTGATAGTGTGGAGAAGCTGATGGAGCACAAAAAAGATCATGAAGTGAGCATTTTGGTGGTTAAGAATGAGGTGGAAGATGGCATGGACAATGAAGCTGATAATTATATAGATGAAACCATGGAACCGTCACCGGAGAACTTTGCTACGTCGTTCGAGTGCGAGCAGTGCGAGAAAGTTTTTAACTCGAAAATAGGTTTGAAGATTCATATGAGAAAGCATGGTGGTCAAGGAAGCGGCAACTCTTGCAGCGTAAGAGTGCGAATATAATGTTTTCTTTCTTTTTATTAAACAATCTGCCATTTCAGATCTGCAGTAAGACATTTTCTAAGGCGTCGATGATGAAGAAGCACATGGAAACGACACACGAAGTGTATGAGGAGAAAAACGGAAAAGTGCGTTTTTTTTCTCGTGAAAATTGGGTTGCATAGTTTGTTTAATGAGGATTGATTTTGCAGAAAATCATGGAATGCGAATTCTGCGATCGAAAGTTCAAATACAAGAAGAGCTTCGATCACCACATGAGCAGCGAACATGGAATCGCAGAGGATGACGACGAGGATAGCGATACTCCATTGAGCGAATTCGTTAAGAATAGTTCATCTATGAACGAGGAGGACGTGTTGACTCCTAAAATTGAAATACAAAGTGAGCTTACGATCATGATTATTTAATTTCAAAAGCTTGTAAGGTCGTAAACTGTACTATTTATGTTTTTTAGTAGAAGAAGAGGTTGTAGATGATATGAAGGAGACGATCAAGAAGAGAGCCAAGTGTCACGAATGCCACGTATGCAATACGAAATTCTCTCGGACTAACCATTTGACCCGGCACATGACGCTGCACAGGGCCGTGCTAATCTTCAAATGTGACAAGTGCGATAAATCATTTGCAACGCAAGATTTCTTGGATAAGCACAACGAGGAAGATCACATCAACAAACCGTACACCTGCACCGTCTGTAAAAAAACTTTCAGCCGAGGAGAGCATCTCATCAGGCATCTCAAGCAGCACATGCCCACCATCACGGAGATGCTGCAGTGTTCAGTTTGCATGAAGGAGTTTAAAAGGTAATTTGCCCTAATTGCGAGGCAGTTCTTATATAGATATTTTTTTCAGATCGGATCATCTTGCGCGGCATATTAAGATCCATCTTCAGCAGGATAAGAGGCACGTTTGCACGGAGTGCGGTAAAACGTTTAATCGATTAGACAATTTGAAGACGCACCAAAGGACACACACTGGACAAAAGTATAATGCCAAATTGCATTTGTGCATCTACTGCGGCAAAGAGTTTAATAATTCCAGTAACATGGTAAATAATACGGGATGAGTATATACTAGATACTCAATTAAGTCATTATTTGCAGATCGTGCACATGCGTAGGCACACGGGAGAGAGGCCGTACAAGTGCAAACAGTGCGGCAAAGGTTTTCCAAGATCGCACGATCTAAAATGCCACGAGCGAACGCATTCTGGAGAGAAACCCTACCTATGTACTTTATGCGGTAAATCGTTTAACAAGAGCAACAAATTGGTATGTGCCATTGCATTTATTAACCATTTTTAATGTATTGCTTAATGCTTGCTTTCTTTTTTAAGTTGAGGCACACAAGAGTCCACACTGGGGAGAGGCCTTACGTGTGCAACCTCTGTGGGCGTGCCTTCACTCAGTCCAATGATCTTGCGCTGCACATGCGACGGCACACCGGATCACGTCCATATGCGTGCGGGGTGTGTCCAGCTCGATTCATCCAATCGGGACAATTGAAGACGCACAGGAAAACCACTGGCCATTGGATGGAAATACAGCCCGATTTAAAGGGCGGTCATCGGGTGGAGCCGGTGGTGGCCACCACCGATCTGACGCCGGTCAAGTTCAAGATGAGCGCGAAATACAAGGACGATCTGGAGGACGCGACGCATCAAGAAGAAGGGCATTCTAGCAATCAGGAGCAGTTGGTCGATGAAGTGCAGAGTAGAAGTGTTGTTCCTCAGTTCACCGTTGTCGATTTGCAGCAGTTTTCACCCGAGAAACCCAAAGATCATCCGGAGCAGAGCACATTCCACGCCTACACGGCCACACCCACCTCTAGTACCTTCACAGTAACTACCAGTGAACAGTTTCACTATCAGAGCTTCTAACGCTTCATACGAGTCCGTCATCGATTTATTGTAACACTTTGTTAAGGACATATTTTGAATTGAAAATAAATATATAAAGAGTAACACAATTTTTTATTTCTGCTCTCTTCAATCAATCCAGCAGATATGTGATCTAATTACCATAGCAACAAGGGTAAGTGTAAATAAAAATCATACAAATTTTATAATTTTGCATAAGTGGTTTTATTAGAATAAATACATAATCGTTTCGATCTCAATGTACACAATAAGTCTGTTCTTTCGACGAATTTTTTTATTGCTATCCATAAATATACATGTAAATAAATACCAACAAAATTGGAACGGTGAAACGAAAACAAACAGGAAACGTTTTTTTCTCTTTCTTTGCTCGTGCATACACATTTCATTACTACGATTCATATTTTCTCAAAATTCTTGATACGTATCTTATATAGTTACTTATTAATTTTACTTTTTTTTGCTCGCTATTTTTTTTAGCTTAAATTCTTTAGATTTCGGAAGGGGATTGTCTATATGTGGGAGAGACTAGGATCAAACCTCTACTTTTTAGTATTTACTTATATATTTTGTCATCTTTCTTTCTTCCTTTTTTTTTTGATTCGTATAAGTTGTTTTAAACACCAAATATTAATATTAATTTATATATTTTTCTTTTGATGGTCTGATCGTACGTAAATAAATCACACAGAAAACAAACTTTTCTTATTACACATGTCTCTCTCTCTGTTAATATATTTACTTAAATATATATAGATAATATAAATTCTGGTTTCTTTTATTCATCATTTGTTTTCTCAATAAAATTTTAAAGTAATAACATTCGATATATATATATATATTTGTTTATATTACATATTCAATAAATTAAATCAACGAGAAGCAAACGCAATTGCTAAAACTATTACAAAACTTAACACTTGTCAAATTTGAAGACGTCAAAGTCATTGAAACTGAAGAATCAATTTACAAAATGATTGATGCATTCCAAAGTTTTTTTTTATGTTTGGTTTTTGTTTCTCGTTAATACGAGATTGTATAAAATTCTCCATAGAATTTTTATTATTGCCAGCAATGGCAATATTTGAAACTCGCTATTTATTGTCAGAGATGACTAATTTCCAAGATTGACATTTGACAATTTGCATCATGATTTGCATGCGTTAAGGAATAGAACGATTACGTAAAATTAAGGTCACGTTTGACGACGTCATCATATAATTTTTTTAGAGTCTTTCTCTGTAAATTAACGAGATTCCATGAAAACTTAGCCAAGGAACGTGAATGAGACAGACGACGATAAGCAAAGAACCAAAAACGAATGTATTTTACTGATTGTCTAAACATTCCAAAATTAAGTGTTCGTCTCTTTTGTTGTTCATTTTTTAAATTCCTTTTCTTCTTCGTTTACCTTTATTTTCATTTCATTTATATTATTTAATAATTATTATATAATAATGTGTATATTATTGTATTATCACATAAATCGAGATATATAATCGTCTGTACACAAAACGTGCGGCGAATTTCTGCAGAGATGTCAACCACATTTCATGTGGACACCGGCGCATCCACCAATATTTTGATTCGAATGATTGAAGAAAGAATAAATAAATGGGTGACTTCTTCTCTACTTTTTTTTTTACAAGTGATTAAAGCGTTTCTGTAGCAGAACCAAATATTAATCGCTATTCATGTTGCTTAACTTTTGAATGCTGTGAGAACTCATTGAAGATGTAATTAGTTAAGTAAATTTGCAATAATATTCTTGTATATGTTTATTATCAACGTTAAGAAATTTATTTGTAGTAAAATAAATGTATTTTATTGTATGCAAAAGTTTTGACGCATCCACCTTTTCTAAAAAATGATATTTTATTTATGTGACATACATTGTGCATCAACTATTTTTCGCTTCGGATATGTGTGTTTTGTATTGTTATTTTTCATTCTATAGCGTTTCATTTGTCTGTCAAGGAAGTTTGTCATGGTTGCTTTCCGCCGCAGGTCGTTCAGAATGTAAATATTCACGATTTAAAGTTACCGAGAGAACTTTAAGACTTACATAATAATTATATAGTTGTCAGTCGTAATACATGCGATCATTGATAGGGGAGGGGATTCATTGGTGGTAAGTATAGTAGAGGAGATATAAACAAATAATTTGTGGTGTACAATTAATGGTACAGAGAGCTGCATGGATGTAGTAGTGCTCAGTGTATCAAAGAGTCTACTGATATAGAAAGTGAGCAGTGAAGGGTTGCAGGCGCCGGCGTCGTCGGAGAAGAACGCATCGTCGTCGGTGCCTCCTCAATCTTCTCCAGATCTACAGCTCCTGCTGAGTTCTGCTTGCATAACCTGGGGCTCAGCTGCAGCGTTGCCAAAGAACATTATTAATGCCATCAACACGGTCAGTATTTAATTAATAAATAATTCAGAACCAATTGGGATACTAATATTGAAAAGCAAAATGTGATTAAACAAATTCGTATTATGTTTACTCAAGTACTATAATTTGGGCAACAACTGAACTGTCATATTGACGTTGCGGATGTATTCAATACGATTTGATTGTAGAACATACCGCCTTGTGGACGATCTCCTGGGTGACCTCCTCGGTGCGATCGAGACTGAACTGTCTCCGTAGCAGCTTGCTGACCTTATCCTTGGGACTGAGACACTTGTAATGGTTGTACGGAGTGCTGAGATCTTCCTCTTCGATGCGCCTCGGTCGTGTCACCCGGAAGCCGCTCAGGGAGCTGGTGGAGGCGCCGAGGAGGGCGGCGGCCACTTCGCTGGCAGACACGGGTGTTCCTAGAGATATGCCCGGAGTATCGCTGGAGGTGCTCTTTACGATGTGATGCAGCGGATGGTCCAGGTCCTGACTTCGTATGAGGCTAGCAAACTTCGAGCACTCCATGCTCTTCATGAAGGTCGGATCCTGGGACCTGGGATTTGTCGCGATTAGCGCCTCTACGGTAGTCGCGGCGATCACTCACACAAAATTATTTTACCTGTCCTCGTGCTGTTGCAGAACTCGTGACTCGCTAGGACTCGCATCGCATCCATGACACACCTCGTTCGCCGAATTAGACTTGCAGATGATTAGACTCTCATCCAGACTGCACCATCAAAATATTAGAATAAATATAAACAAATAAATCAATAAAAGTATTGCTTATATAAGCACAAAAATAAATGACATTTTTTTTCAATGCGACAAAAATTATTTAAAAAAATAATTATCTTCCTTTAGAGAAAAGCCAGTTTTAATACCTCTTTCGTAAAATTCTGTCAGTTTTTCATTAATATATCCAGGTGATTTCAAACTTGTTCAACATTTGTAATTTTTTTTCACGAAGCGAATGTTCTATCGGCATAAAAAGGTGAAAGTCTGAAGGTGTAATATCAGGTGAATATGGTGGATGTTGAGAATCGTTTTTTAAGCAGTTCCGCTTTTAATCTTACTAATTCGGCATAATACACCTTTGCTGAAACAATATTAGTATAATGCATAATGAATTATTCCCTAGACAAAAGAGGTTTTACTCTTTTAAATCTAATGGGAAGAAGGGTACTATAGAATAGGGGTCGATCCCAAGAGGTTTTTAAGTCGATCAATTACATATTATATGTTTAAATATCTGACATTCAATTTATAAAAAGTACACTAAATATTTAATAGATTGAATCTCATTCCAACTTTGTATTTTATTTTTACCTAGTCGATCGCCTGCCGCCTAATACTTTTTGGTAGATCGCCGATGCTTTAAGAGTTGTAAATGGGAATGAGCAGGGATTCCCATTTACAACTCTTATAAGAAACATATCGGTTTCATATATAAACAACAGATATTAACAAATGATTATTCGTTGTTTTAATGCTTTCTGAAAGTTTTTGCGGCACCCAAATTTCTTCTCTAGTCTTTTCAAATGATCTTTAACTGTTGACCTTCGATCAGAAATATCTTGAAATAATTTATTGAATGTTTTAAGCGGATCGGATTCCACCAATGAGTTTAAAGTGTTATTATCGATCTTACTTAAGAGCTCTCCCTAATTTTGGATTCAAGATGACTGTAAACATTGCAGATGGTCTTGGTAGCTTTTTTTGATTTCAATTCTTTATCAAGTAAAAACAGCATAAAAATATAGAAAATGTGTCTCTTCAATCTCGTTATGGATCAAAAATAAAATAAAATTTCCAAAACAGAAACTTACAAATTCAAAACCAGGTTCAAAACGATACCTATAACAACTTGTTAACTGAAAGGCAACCGGTGACAAAATAGTTTCAAAGTAACACAATAAAAAAATGACATTCCTTTTCGTTTTACCTAATACATACCCATGGCTCTCCCTGCTTGATAACAAGAAGAATTCAGCAAATTAGATTCACTATGCGTTGAAATTTACTTTAAAACTTACTCCAGAGACGGCGGTGCTGGAAGTGGCTTATCGAAACCCGCCTTACCCAAAAGCCAATACGTGTGCATCGTTCCCTTTCCCTTCACATCTATTGGACCACGATATTCCAGTTGGTAACCTCCAGCCCTTTCCAACCTACCTTTCGTCGCCTCTGACAGATGTATTCTCCAAGCCGAACCTGTATAAAGAAACAACAAGTTAACAGATCAATAATTAGATAAACATAAACAAATAACAAGTTAACACATACTCCTCATTAAACAAAAAAAAACTAAACCAATGTGTTGAAATGAAAACCGTGTTAAAATAACGGTAATTAAAATGAATGCAATTTCGTGGAATTGCCACTTATACGCATCCCTGCTTATAAAGCTTCGTACATTATGCTAACAGTTGAAATTTTAATTCACGGTTTACTTTTGTTAATTGCAAGGCATGGTTGGGAAATAAGCGCGTTCTTCATTCCACCAAAAAATTAAGTGCGTCCTGCAAAGGTTGAATTGTGTGCTTTTCATTATTATTACTGCATAATTAAAATTAAGCAAATCTAATGTACACGGTATGATTGCACAGTGTATTTAGTTAGTCGTGATCCCTCGTAATTAAAAAGATTTTTATATTTTACAATTCTACTAAAGTACGTAATCTCTGACAGAAGAATGACAAATTCATTGAAATAATGTAAATTTTAAATGTTCTGAAAGATGTCATCGTAAATAATAATTCTTCATAATTGTATATTCAATAGTTTGGTGGGATTGAGTTTGCCAACTCACCTGTAGATTCCATCCTGGAGGCCGTATTCACCGTGTCTCCGAACAGGCAGTATCTGGGCATCGTGAGGCCGACGACTCCTGCGCAACATGGCCCGGTGTGCAAACCTATCCTCAACCTGAGAGGTGTCCCAGGAAGATGTCGGATGCGAAATCGTCCACTCTGATGCAGCAGGTCCAAGGCCATCGTCGCCACTTGCTCGGCGTGATCCAAGACTCGCACCGGGAGTCCTCCGACCACCATGTAAGCATCTCCAATAGTTTCTACTTTGTACACGTTGTAGGCGTTGATCGTCGCATCGAAGCATGTGTATAAATCATTAAGAAGATCGACTACTTGGAAGGGCGTCGAGTGAGCCGAGATCGTTGTAAATCCAACGATGTCGCTGAAGTAGATGGTCACTTCAGCAAATGCCTCTGGATCTACCGGCATTCCTAACTTCAACTTCTCCGCTACAGAACTAAACGAACAAATAGATCAAAGACTGCTGTTTACAATATTAAACTGACATTCTCATTATTGATTATGATAATAATCTAATTTGATTTTGTAATAAATTTCATTACTTTATAACAATAATATCATTGTCATTTTTGATATATCTACATTAAATCTACAAAATTACTAGGGTTGTCTGTAATTAATATTAATGAAATAATTATAGAAACTAAATTGACGAATAATTGATATACCTTGGTAGCATCCTGTTCAGCAATTGTTCAGTCTTCTTTTTCTCGATGTCGAGCTGCTCGGTGCGCTCCCTGATCAGCTCCTCCAAATTGTTCGAGTACTTCTCGAGCATCTGAAACATGGTGTCGACGATGTTGACCTTTCTACCATGGTTCAACTTCTTGAATTGATCGTGAACGGCGTTGAAATCTGGCCTCATGTCGGCTTGCTCGGCCCAACATTGCCTCATGATGTTGATTGCCTCAGGCGGCGCTGCCCCTTTGCTTACCGATGGCCTAATTAGAGGAGGCGGTTTCTTCACCTTCTCTATGATCTCTGTAGTCCAAATGCAATAAGTAGATAAATTAGCTGAATGGTTATAAACTGATCTAATAATTGTTTAATCTACAGAAATTTCATGATAATATTATTTAATTTTGACATATCTTAATGACTTTAGGTAATGTCAAGTTAGATTATTTGGATTGACATTTCACGTGACATCTAATTGCATTAATAGAGTAAGAAACTTTAAACATTTTTAGATGTCAGCAATGACATTTTGTATGACATCGTGGTCATGTAATTGCATCGAGAAATCCAATTAGAAGGAATGGGGGTAGTCGTGATTTAGTGATTGCGTTACCTTCGGGCGTAAGTGCAAGCATGCAGAAGGGCTCTCCTCGCACCACGACCTCCTGCATGATTATTCCGAAGGAGTAGACGTCGCCGGGCTGCGTGCCCTTCTTTCTCAGGCTCGAATGCCTCAGCAATTCCGGCGCGGTCCAGAGCAGCTCTGCAGCAGACGGGAATTAATTAGGCTCGTTAAATATTTAACATGCAATTAGCGGCGCGACTAGATCACGGCCGCCGCGAAACCAGACAAGGGTCGAGTTCTGCTGAATGATTAACGACCGAACGAACCACGCCACCTCTCCATCAATTCGCTCGTTCCTTCTACATCCTCTTCTCTCGTTCGCAGAGTCAACACAAGAAGATGAGAACGAGACTAAAACGAAAACTGAAATCTTGATTGCCGAGCATCGATTTCGATGGGCGAGACGATTGCAAACACATATACCCAAGAAAAACAAATGAAGAAAGAAAGTTGGCGCGGTGAAAAGAAGCTTTGATTGATCAGAGAAAGATCAACTGTTTGACAAAGAACGACAATTAAAATACTTAATTTTTCAATTAAAATAGTTTAAGGAGTAAAGAGGAAATTGAAAAGTTTAAATGAAGAAGTTTATGGATGTCTACTGTGTTCTTAAAAGAACATTTGTTACATAGGTTTCGTCAACCAAATTAAAAAATAAATAAATATTAACTGATTGATGGTTTAATTTCGTTGAAAATGGGAAACAAAGTTATTGTTATCAAATCTGTCAATAAATGTCATTGATCAAATGGAGGATCAGCGGTATTTTGATTTATCTTCGAAGTGGATAATGACAGCCACATGTATAATTCAAACACCGAATCCATCGAACAGTTATGGAATTATAATCGAAGTGGATTTTCTGTGATTTATACGAGAAACTTTTCGAAAGGTGACGCTCTTTCTTTTTTTCTCTCTCTCTTTTTCTTTCGTTAATTATGTAGCTGTGGCAAATGGAGAAAAAGGGAAAAGTTGCAAGAAGTCAATATCGGCACACATAAATCCTATATCAGATGCTGAAATAATTACAATTGCAAAAAGCTCGGGCGGAGCGAAAAGTTTTAGCTTCTCCCCTTTAATATTAAGCTGGCCGCGACGCCCAACCCACTCACTTTCACAACTTTTCTTTCGCAACTTTGCGTCGCAAAATTTGCATATACACAAATACACAGAAGAGAGAAATAAAGAATGAGAGAACTTATTTATTTCTTCCTTCGCGTGTACCAATTTTGTTTTGCTTTTTTTCCGGTCCGTTTTTTTGTATTTTGTACTAAGCTTCATTTTTCATTTTTTTGGTAGTGTTTTTTTATTTGTGGTTTACCTTTAGCGGTCTTCGGATCCGGCGAGATCCCCTGGGCCTCGTAGAACGCCGGCATCCCGTAATCGGTGACTTTCAGCACCCACCTGGCATCGATTACGCAATTGCGCGACGTCAGGAAGCCGTGGATGCGGATCGGACTGGCGTGCAGATATTTCATGCCCTACAAGATTCAAAAAGAAAATAAAAAGTTTGATAGAATCGTATATGCAGGATAGGATCATATCTATATAATATTTTGGGATAAAAATAAATTGAAAAGCTTCTAGGACGAATCAAAAGTTGGCGTTGCTAGCAAATACCGTTGACGTGTTGCCATCTATCAAACGAAAATATAACCGTGACATTTAACAAATGAAGTTTTGATTTTGTTTTGGGAGTGGCAGAATTGTGAAGGTTTGAGATGGAGAAGATGAAATTTGATTTAAACTTTAATCAATTCTTTTTTAACGTATTGACTGTTATTAGAAAAGAGAATCATCATCATAACGAAAGATTCTTATAAGAATTAAAAATTTTCATCAACATATGTATTCGAAATAATTGTGAGCATTGCTTTTTAACCTCTAAGTGGTTATGTCGTATATATTCGTCATGGCTTCTTGTATTGCGTAACGCTTATGACGAATATATTCGCATCATGAATATACTTGGTACACACGTAATCATTCCTAGTAATAGAGAAGGAATGTGCGCATTGCTACTTTCAACTTGTTTAGGTGTCATTTATGATGTAGAAAATATAACGTGAACTTCACTAGGGGAGCCACTTAAAACCGCTTAAAGTGTTAATTGACAACCAACAAAAAACAAATGAAAAAGTTCAATTCTTAAATTAATAAACAATATTTATACATTTCGTTATTGGCTATGAAACACCGATATGGGATTTTAAAAGTAGTTAAATCAATCCAATTTTCTTCATAGCATAAAAAACTGAAATGTATTTGAATTTTCCAGCATTGATTAAATACGCGTTGAAGAGCGTGCAAATGGAGAAATGTAGATGAAAAGTGCGACCGGACGAATGATTACGAATGGAAAGCTGTTCCGACTCGACGGACAATAATCGAATCAGTTGACGAATTAATCGGATTTAATTGTTTAAAGCTGATATTGGAAAAGCATGCATTTGTCGAACAAACAGAATGAACGCATACATTGATTTCCGCGAATCCCCTATTTAAATTTCGCGCTGTTTCGAACTGTCAACGAATATCGTGGCTAATTATATTGTATCACTATGGTCCATGGAAATCGTATTCATAATAAAGAAAAGCATCTAATTTGTATTTTTCTTTAACAATGAATTAAGTTTCACTGGTATTTTTAATATAAATAATACGCTGTCTCGAAATTCAACGAATTCATGCAATGAATATGTAATATGTCGCGTAGTGATGTGTGCAGTTACGAAACTAAGGTAATTTAAATTGGAAAAGTTTCGCATTTTCATTAAAACCAGAAAAGTCAATTCCTTTTTCTCTCCATACATATATCATTTTCTACGTGCATTTATCTCTCAAAACACGAATCCTTCGCGATGAAAGCTTCTTCAAATATACTCAAACTGAACGTGTTCGTATTGATTTACGCTGTGACAAGTGTCTGGGACAGATGTACACTTCGTAATACATATTAATAATATTGAATTGACGTTACTATTCACGTGTATCGCACTCGATGTGACTCAAACCAATCAAATAACAACTCGAATTACAATGAGTCATTGTTTCCCACGCAATTACTGTCAGGAAAATGTCAAAACAAATGATCTATTTGTTTTTTTTTTAACTATTTTGTTTCATGGCGTAACGTTGAATAACACGTGATTATGACAGTTTCAGAATTTTATATATTCCGAATAAATGTTTTTCGCAAAATTATATTTATAAATCAATTTATTACGTTTCTCTCAATACTAGACAAATAACTTGTCAAGTATTTGTTAGTGATGTCTACTTGATTTGCCTAATCACCGCATAATATAAATTAATGATATTAAATACAAATATTATAATTTTACTTTAGCCGCATTTCTTTAATGAACTGAGAGATGAAGATACAACGATATTCGCAGCATCTTTTATGTACCAAAGTTCACATAATTATGCTTTCGAGTTGTTTTACTTAACTGAAATTCCCTGCGGACTTCTTCTCGTCGCCGCCAGAAGTTGATAACTTTTTCTTTTCAACCGGGAAACCAGAAAAACCGCAGAAACTTAAACCTGGCAGCTTCAACCTGAACTATATATAATATGAAGGTTTGAAGTGCATTTACAAAATTGGATGAAAATTGATAGCATACTAAAACAATGCAACTAAAAAATTGAGATAAATGATAACTACATTTTAGCAATTTTATATTTATATTATAAGCTTTCTTTTAAGCAATCAAAATTATATTAAAATCGTAATTAATAACAATTTATATTATACGTTATTTAACGTAATTGTCAGCTGTCAAAAGTATGAAGTCATAACCTTAAAATAAAGGGTAAGCATATTATTTTTTTTAATAAACTATCAGCCGTTGTTATTAATTTCAAACTGTATTAGTATAGAATTATATTCTAAAGTAAATTATTAATCTTTTGAAATGCAACACTATATTTTTCAATAGCAAATGTACATAAAATATTGAAATATTAAATATTTCAGCTATAATTACTAACTAATAACTGTTGTCATGGTAATTAATTATATTACGATTATTTTGTACATTGTATTGTATATAGTCTGTATGAATTTTTTGATGTTTTTTTCAAATAATTTGTTAATATAATTGTCTTACTAATTATTTTTTAATTTATGAAACGTAATATTAAACTTTCTAATACAGTTGTTTGTTTGTTTGATAATTGGAGTTTAATCAACTTGAAATCTCTCTTTAAAACAAACAAGTAATTACAAATTTTGAGTATGTACTTTAACGAAAAACTAATTTGGCTGAATGGTCGGTCAGTTGTTGTACATTGAAAATTATTTGTTCCAACATGCATTCAAAGTAAAAATAGGAGAATTTTCGGGACAACGCTTGTTCCAATTACCGCACGTGGAAATTGCATAAACTAATTGGAATTCTCGCTAATTCAATTTTTGTTTTTTTTTTTACTTGTTGTGCTCATCTTGTATGCTTTTCATTGTTAAACGCTTTTAGTTTTCGGGGTGGCGGCGACTCGTAAATAGATAAATGGTAAGTTGCGAAATGGAAAATGAATTCTCACGAAATGTTCAGCAATTATTGCATCTCGCCCTGGGGACCGTCGCGACAATTACGAAAACTTATTATACTTTAATCCGGGCGGCAGCGTTTCGCGCCACCCCCTAAATCCCCATGGGCGGTCGAGGCCCCACCTGTTGCGCAAATCAATCCGAGAGTCGAGCCTGCCGAGACCCAGATAAACATTCAATTCGTACCTCAGGATTCTCTGGCAGTCATCATCGTCATGATGATCAACATCATCTCCGACCAATACAATTTCAACGAAAAGAAGAAGATGAAAAAAACGTGGTGGTGGTGGTACATCTCCTCGGAACGATGTTGATATGAAACTATTGATTGCAAACCGCCGCCCCCACCGTTGCGACCGCCTCAACTCATCTGAAAGGATGTGAATACGTGTGTATATATGTGTGCTTGTGTGTTAGATGTCTCCTATATGTTTGTATGTATGCTGTTAGTCTACGCGTACGTATTTATAGAAGGCAGGGAGAATGGATGATGGTGACGGTGCGGCCACTCTTTCATCCCTTTTCAACGCGCGCGCTCCGCGAAATTGAAATGCACCGCTGCGAATCAATATGTACATTATGTACAGAAACTATATAAACATACACTGAGAGAGAACTAAGCTCCCCTTTCATAATGAGACAATGCATGTACTAATGTACATGTCCCAGAAGCGAAGTGCTTCGATAAGATTGGAAACGTTTGATTTACCAATCTCTTTGCTTGAAATCGAACCCACAAGCTGACGTATGCTTTTCACCTCATCCCCCAATCTACGCTAATTGCCCTTCTCTATACCTCTCCTCTCTCAATCAATCCCGATCCATTACATAATGAACTGCATTTAGCTCTGATTACGCACCTCGATTTACAATAACATTCTCTTCGTATTAACACTAAAATTGAAATCTATCATTTTTTTAGAAGAACGCAACAGCAAACTTTTTATACGAATACGTCAAATATTTAGTTGTCAGTAAGCGTTTGTGACTTTGCGTAACGTAGACCAAAACTTTGATATAACAATTTTGTAGAAAGAAACAGTAAAAATGCATGTGATTCAGTAATAAGGCCAAATTATAATATCAATAGAATTTATTGATACTATATTTCAAAAATAGATATTTTTTCTTGGTACATAACATCAAACTTTTATATCAAATATCTTATTATTGTAATGAACGCAACATCAAACTGCTACATTAAAAACTTAAATTTTGAAATATGACAAAACGCGACTTCATTAACCCTTTAACTACGGCTGTCGTTAATAAACGACGAAACGAAACTTTCGTGAGGTACAACTATCATCAATAAGGGATTTGATGAATTATGCTGAGATACGGTTGTCGGTTGTAAGATTTGTTTTCTCGGAACTTAATTATGATTACAGTATGCACATAAACAAAAGTTCGCTAAGTTGGCTGGAAAAAAACAATTTTATTTTAATATTTTTAATTTTCATCTGCATTTTGTAATTTCTCTGCATAATTTTTATTTACTTCAATACATTTCTTAAGTCAGTACAGCCACCTTTCAATACATTCCTCAAAATCGGCTTATTAAAGCTTTTTTTTTGAAGGAACTGAAGACTATTTATTTCAATTTTTTTTTTAATTTTTGGAAACAACCAGAAAACGCACGGTGCCAGGTCGGTAGAGTAAGGTGTTGGGCGAATTTCATTGATGCCAGAAAGCACAAAAATTAGATTATATTGACTCTAATGGCGTCAATCCAGACGCGAACTAAACCACCATCGCGATACAATCAGCTGCTATGAGTGCTACACATACTATCCCTACAAGGCAAGTGACTTATAACTGCACAGCGAGTGTTGCCAATCTAATTAAGAAGAAAAGGAGATTAACAAAGATCTGGCAACGGACTCACGATCCGTCGGACAAAACCCTTCTAAACAGATCGACAAAAGA